GCGGATGACGACACCGAGGAGCTGGAGATCGCCGTGGACAACACGGCCTTCATGGATGAGTTCTTCTCGGAGGTGAGGGAGGGCTGGGAGTGGGGCTGGGGGGCACAGGGCTGCCTCCTAACCCCCCTCCCAAATCCTTCCTGGTGTGTCCAGATCGAGGAGACCCGGCAGAACATCGACAAGATCTCGGAGAACGTGGAGGAAGCAAAGAAGCTCTACAGCCTCATCCTCTCAGCGCCCATCCCGGAGCAGAGTGAGTGTGCTGACAGTGTCCCCAAGTGTCCCCTGGGTCACAGGGAGCCCTCCTGGGGACATTCCTTACCTCCACGATCCTGCAGAGACCAAAGATGACCTGGAGCAGCTGACGGCGGAGATCAAGAAGATGGCCAACAGCGTCCGCAACAAGCTGAAGAGTGAGTGGCCCTGGGTGTCCCCGTCCCCACGGCCGTGCTGGGGACACTGGGACCGCGGGGTCTGGCAGCGGGGAAGGTCCCTGATGGGTTGGAATCCGGTTCTTTCCAGGTATGGAGAGGAACATTGAGCAGGACGAGGCACGATCCTCCGCTGACCTCCGGATACGCAAATCCCAGGTGAGCTCCGGCCCCTGGGAGCCGCTGCTGGGGCTGTCCTCATCCTGTGTCCCCAGGTCCTGAGTGCCCTGTGCCACCCTGTCCCCTGTGGGCTGGGCATGTGGCATGGCCAGGTGTTCCCAAGCCTCCATTCCCTGTCCCCATCCAGCATCCCCAGTTCCTGAGTGCTCCCACAGGCTGGGGATGTGGCATGTCCTGGTGTCCCCAAGTCTCCTGTCTCTGTCCCCAGCAGCACCCAGTTCTCCCAGGCTTCTTGTTCCTCTGCCCTGTCCCCAGCACTCTGTCCTGTCCCCCTTGGGCTGGGACATGCCACATCCTTGGTGTCTTGTGTCTCATGTCACTGTCCCCACCCCCAGCGCTTCCTCCTGCCCTGTGTCCCAAGGCTGGGGACATGCCATGCCCAGATTGTCACCAGTCTGACTCCCTGTCCCCATCCCCAGCAGCCAGTCCTGTCCCCTGGGGTTGGGACACGCCACGTCTGGGGTGTCCCCATCCCCGTGTCCCCGTCCCCAGGGGTTGGGGAGGCACCGTGCCTGGCGTGTCCCCATCCCCGTGTCCCTGTTCCCGTCCCCAGCACTCGGTCCTGTCCCGCAAGTTCGTGGATGTCATGACCAAGTTGGGGAGGCACCGTGCCTGGCGTGTCCCCATCCCTGTGTCCCTGTCCCCGTCCCCAGCACTCGGTCCTGTCCCGCAAGTTCGTGGATGTCATGACCAAGTACAACGAGGCGCAGGTGGATTTCCGAGAGCGCAGCAAGGGCCGGATCCAGCGGCAGCTGGAGATCAGTGAGCGACCATGACCCCCAGGGGGGTGGGGCTGTTCCCTATGGACCCTGTCCCTTCTGGGAAGTGGCTGTGGGAGTCAGGCCATACAGACCCCGACCTTTTGGAAAAGTGGGAGGAGCCGGACACTCGGGGCCACACCCCTTTTGTAAAGTAGGAGGAGCCAGTCCTTACAGACCACGCCCCATGGTAAAAGTGGGTGGGGTCCGCCCTAAAAGACCCACCCTTTTGGTGAAGGGGTTGGAGCCAGGCCCTACAAACCCCTCCTCTTGGGCAAAGTGGGGGCTGTCAGGCCCCTGAAGACCCCCCTCCTCTGGTAAAGTGGGTGGGACCAGAGCAAACAGACCCCACCCCTCTGCAGAATAGGGTGGGGCACTTCATACAAGCCCCACTCCTTTGGGATAGTGGGTGGAGCCAGGCCCTAAGTCACCCATCATTTTGGCAATGTGGGTGGAGCCAGCCCCACACAGACCCCGCCCATTGCCCAAAAATGGGCGTGGCCCAACCCCACCCCTTCCCACGTTCCTGCA